TTCAGTATCTGCAAATCTCAAACTCCCAGTTTATCCCTTCCCACCCCTCTCCCCCTGGCAACCACGAGTCTGTATTCTATGTCTGTGAGTCCATTTCTGTTTTATATATAATCACATTCCCTTTTCCCTCTGAGATCTACTGGTTTTGAGTACTACCAAAGCTAGTCAGTTACTAGGCTAGACTTTGCACTCCTATTTCTTCTAGTTTACCACGCACAACTTAGGCTTCTTACCCAATGCATTTATGTCAACTGGACTTGTTACTATAATTACGTCATTCATTTACCTAGCCTAAAAAATGAATAAAATATCTTGATTGTGGTGGTGGTTTCACTGGTGTATACATCTATCAAAGTTCATTAAATTATACATCTGAACTATGTGTAGTTTATTGTACAGGAATAATACCACAATAAAGGTGTTAAATTTTCTTAAAAAGGAGAAAGTAATATATATAAGTATGGAAGAAGTTCTGTCTCTCTGAAAATTCACTTGAACGCTTTAGAAAGGCTAGCGAAAGGTGAAAAGCTTTAAAAAGCTCTGTAATTAGCTGTGGAAGAAATTAATATAAAAGACTAGGTAAAATGTAAGAATCTAGAAGAACATGAACTCAAATAAATAAATTACTGCCATTAAGTGCTCATTTCACTTTAAAAAAACTTAAACTAAAAGTGGTAAATGATACATAATGGGCAGAGGTTACATATGAAAGACAATGACAAGCTCTCTGGATGTGCATGTGTCTCATTTTAAAAAAAGATTTTCTCTGTAACTCTGATTAACTGAATAGTCTAGATTTCAAAAAATAGGAAAATTTCTACTATAAAGAGGTATCTTTCTTTCTGATTCTAAGATTAGCAAAAATGAACAAGAAAGAACCATACCTTGTGGGAGTAACGGTGACTGCAAATACGCACTTTGACACCATGTTGGTAGGACTGTAAATTTGTGTTAATTCGGAGGAGGATTTATAGGGAGTTATTTATCAAAATTAAAAAATGATCCAGTAGTAGTGAGAACTGGATTTACCTACATCTGAGACAATTTTAAAAACCAGACAAAACATACAAGGGTTTCAATAATTGGACACGATGCAGTGATGGACAGCGATCCCTAAGAGATGGAGAACCAGCGAGGAGGCCCTACTGCTGCAGCAGATCGTAGTCCAGGAGAGTCCCAGGCTGCGGTGTGGGGAAGGAGAACCTAAGTGGGATTCAACAAGCAGAGCTGAGGAGACAGAGCGAAGAATCCGAGAACAGAGAGGCTAGTGTATGCAGGGAAGAGCGCCAGCAAGCAAAGAGCTGCACAGAAAAAGGCCTCCTGAGATCTGCAGCGGGTCCCATCTGCATTCAGCAGGGTGTTAATTAGTACATCTGTGTGAAGAAACTGCCTGAAGCCAGGGAAGTAACTGCCTGAAAGGAGTTACAGGAACAGCCCCTCATGCTCACGAAGGCCCCGGAGCGGTGGGATCAGCCACCCAGAAAACCTCGTCATTCACTGGGGCACTGAGCAGAGTCCTCAGAAGTGCCTTGCCTTAAGAAGTGGGGGCTAATTAGCTCTTGAATAAACGCTGCTCTGGTCCCACCTAACAAATCTTAAAAGCAAGATTTTAAAGAAGTCAAACTGTTTGCAAATAACTTAACTGCATCCTTGAGTTTAACCAAATATTAGCACATCTAATTCAAAAGTACAAAAGCACATCATGACCAAGTGGGATTTAGCACAGGAACGGGGGTAACAGTTACAGATGAATCGAAGTAATTCACCATGTTAGTAAAATTAAAATGAAAGCCATAGAACCATTTCAATAGATGAATAAAAAGCATTTGATAAAATTCAACAGCCATTCCTGAGTAAAAAAGGAAAATCCATTAAATTAGGGATAGAAGGGAAGTTATTCAACTTGATACAGTGATTTATGAAAAACCTTCACCCACAACTATATCATACTCCATGGTAAAAAGCTGAAGTTTTTCCTTGAAGATCAGAAACAAGACAGAAATGCCCACTCTCACCTCTTTTACTCAATATAGTATTGAAATTCCTAGCCAGAGCAATTAGGCAAGAAAAATAAATAAAAGGCATACAAATCAGAAAGGAATAAGTAGAACTGTCACTATAGCAGATGACATGAAATTATATATAGGAAACTTTACAGACTTAACAAAAAACTGTTAGAACTAATCAACAAATTCAGTAAAGGTGAAGGATACAAACCAATATACAAAAATAAGTTGCATTTCTACATACTAAAATAATGAACTCTCAGAAAGAGAAATTAAGAAAACAATCCCATTTACAACTACACCAAAAAGAATAAAGTATCTAGGAATAAACTGAACCAAGGAGGTTTTGAAAGACCTGTACGCTGAAAACTATAAGACACTGATGAAAGAAACCGAAGAAGCCACAAGTAAATGGAAAGATATTCTGTGCTCATGGACTGGAAGAATTAATATCATTAAAATGTCTATACTACCCAAAGCAATCTCCAGGTTCAATGAAATCCCTATAAAAATTCCAATGGTATTGTTTGTGGAAATAGAATAAGCAACTCTAACACTTATACAGAACCACAAAAGACCCTGAGCAGATAAAGCAATCTGGAGAAACAGCATCATGTTTCTGGAGGTATCATGTTTCCTTGATTTCAAGCTATAATGAAAAAGCTACAATAAAACAGTATGATATTGGCATAAAAACAGACATACAGATCAGTGAAACAGCATAGAGAGCTCAGAAATAAATCCACACAAAATGAACAGTTAATTTATGACAAAGGAGCCAAGAATACAAAATAAGTGGTTTTGGGGAAACTGCACAGCCACACGCAGAAGAATGAAACTGTACCACTGTCTTACACCCTACACAAATATCAACTAAAAATGTTTTAAAAACTTGAACGTAAGACCTGAAACCATAAAACTCCTAGAAGAAAACGTAGGCAACACATTTTCTGACACAAATTGTAGTAATGTTCTCCTAGGGCAGTCTACCCAGGCAACAGAAATAAAAGCAAAAATAAACAAATGGGACCGAATTAAGCATATAAGCTTTTGCACAGCAAAGGAAATCATAAACAAAACAAAAAGACAACCTAAAGAATGGAAGAAAA